CTGCCTGAAGAGAGGCAGCCAAGTCACAAATCTTACCCGTGTCGTTGGCATCCATGCTAGCAATCTCAGTATAAGTCGACTTTCTGAATATCATGAAAAACAAGGCGATGTCTCCAGGTCAGGACTTTAAGACAGATTGTTATTGAAATCTTGAAGCACTCTTGCATTTCCATTTGGAGCAGCTGCAGGAGAAAATGAACTTTTAAGATGGAACTTTATCAGTTCATTAAAAGGATAATATGATTTGACTGCATGTAACATCAGAAAAGCGGACATAGTGGCACTGCAAATAGTTCTGCAGTTATCATCCTGAGTGCTATTGCTATTTTGTGGCTGAAAAAACAGAAAAAAATCATCAGGATTATCAAGGCAGGACCTTTTTATAAGCTGAACTTCACAGTTATTTTTGCAGCAGCAATTTCTTTATTATAAGGGCACAGAATGTGAAAAGGCAAATAATACTCATTCAGTTCAGTCAGTTAAATCAGCACTTCCATACAAGCTTTTATGCTAAGAGCACTTTACTATCAAATAGAATAAAAGCCAAAAATAAGTTTAAATGACAAGTTAGACAAATACATCTTGCCAAAGACTCAAAATCACATGAATAAGGACTAAGGAGTTCAGCAGATTTGGAACATAATGTGAATAAGCCTTAGTCTGCAAATATACCTGTCAATATGGAGAAGAGATAATAAATTATCATAGCACGATTGAAAAGCACATGCCAGAATGTGACAAATACAAAGGCTCTGCACTGCCCTTGCACAGAATGAGTCCATATGCTGTGTTTATTTGCTTTTTTTCTAGGTGTAGGGTCAACTGCAGTGGCTAGGTTCACTGGAGCAGGCAATAGCTGACTGCTAGTTTCTTGCAGTTTCTTCTTCTAAAGTCTGAGGAAAAGTCTTTGACATCCTTAGAATTAAAGATACAATGGAAAGATAAAACCAAACCCATTTTTCAGAATACTTGACCAGGTTCAATTCTTATTCAGATTCTTATTCAGAGATGCTCAAGAGAAGCAGAGAGACACACCTGCTGTTTTGGTTTTACCAGTTTCATGTGGGTGAAGCTCCAAGGAAAGGTGTAATTAAGCAAGTCACCCTGAGTTATTCAGCTGATTTTAGAAAATACTCTTCTAATACCAGAGTAATTGGTATATATTGAGTACATATTGAGTGCATCCTCAGCAAGTTTGCCAGCAACATCGAGCTGTGTGGTGCGGTCGACAAGCTGGAGTGAAGGGAAGCCATGCCAGACAAGCTTGAGAAGTGGGCCCATTCAGACCTCATGAAGTTCAACAAGGCCAAGTACAAGGTCTTGCACTTGGATCAGGGTCAATCCTAAACACAGCTACAGACGGGGCAGAGAATGCATTGAGAGCAGCTCTGAGAAGGACTTGGAGTTGTTTTTTAATGAGAAGCTCACCATGAGCTGGCAGTGTATGCTTGCAGCCCAGAAAGCCAGCTGTATCCTGGGCTGCATCAAAAGGACAGTGTGCAGCAGGTCGAGGGAAGGGATTCTCCCCCTCTAGTCTGCTCTCCTGAGACCCCACCTGGAGTACTTCATCCAGCTCTGGGGCCCCAGCACAAGACAGATGTCAACCTGTTGGAGCAAGTCCAGAGTAGGGCCACAGAGATGATCAGAGGGCTGAAGCAGCTCTTCTATGAAGATAGGCCAGAGAGAGCTGGGCTTATTCATCCTGGAGAAGAGAAGGCTCAGGGGATATCTTTGAACAGTGTTCCAGTACCTGAAAAGGGTCCACAAAAAGGCTGAAGAGGGACTTTTTACAAGGGCATGCAGTGACAGGACAAGGCGTAATGGCTTTAAACCATGAGAGAGGGTAGATTTGGATTAGATATTAGGAAGAAATTCTTTACTGTGAGGGTGCTGAGGCACTAGAACAGGTTGCCCAGAGAAGTTATGCCTGCCCCATCCCTGAAAATTTTCAAGGCTAGGTTGGATGGGGCTTTGAGCAACCTGGTCTAGTGGAAGGGGGCCCTGCCCCTGGCCGGGGGGGGGGGCCCATGGCAGGCGGGTTGGAACTAGATGATATTTAAGGTCTCTTCCAACCCAAAGCATTCTATAATTCTGTGATTCTTTGGAAAAACTGCGTGCTGGAGAGACTTGGATTTTCAACTGTCATTGAAGCCAAGAGTGTTCAAAATGCCTACAAGAAACGGTAGACTAAAACCACTTACTAAAAATGAAGCCCATGAATACTTCTTGCTACAAAGGCCAGTTCAGGTTAGGGTAAGATTTTTAATTCCTGCATTCTGAAATCCACACTATGGACAAAGGTGAAGACTACCTAATAAGACCAGCACACACAGATGTGGCAGAAAGCTTGTAACATGTACAGACAGGATACTTTGAAATATCTCCTGTTCAGGAAGGGGAAAGCCTTTGTGTTCTTATATTGAAGTAAATCTCCCACATGCACACTTTCTTCTCTTTTTTTTTTTTCCCCTTAAAAAAAAGGATAATAGAAGTTTTGTAAAAGCAAACGTTCCTTTGCACAGAAGCAACATAAAATGGAAACAGCATATGTGGTTTGAATTTCCGAACCAAACAGTTTAGAGATCCTCCTCAGAAGAAATATAATGTCTCAAGGACAGTGTATATTTTGATTGCTTTGTTTTCTGAAAGTTCCAGTTAAGCTAACGTATACGATAAACCAAAAGAGAAAAGTTTAATAATAAATCCAAATAAGCCAATAGAAGTTTTCTTGTTGACTGCACGAGAAGCAGATCTTGTGCATACCATTGATGAATTGAACAAATGAATCCTAAAAACTCAGGCTGGCTACTTAAAAGATCAAGCAAATAAAAGAATAAAGCCACATAAGATGTTTCTGTGTGTAAAAAGGCTGTGGGTTATGGGATTAATTTTTTATAGTGTATCTCTATACCCTGAATAACCAAGTAAGCCAGAACTTGTGGAATCTTAATAGCCATCTCATTGCTGAAGTCTAAAGGAAACCCAGAGGAAACTTAATAATATTAAAAGTTATTTTAAAGGGAGTTCACATTGGTTTGAAGGATATTTTGCTTCGCACACAATATCCACCATTGTAAATTCAGAGAACCTAGATTTGAATTCAGAAAACCTCCACACATCTTTACAGCCCTCAGTATATAAATCTAATAGTATTCTTAAAATGTCCACCAGTAAGGTATTAATCTTTTACAGATAAAATTAAAATTCTGAAAGTCATTGGAACAAAAAATAAAGAAAAATAGTAAAAATATTCCCTCTAGAAATGAGGGGAAACTTGGAACTTTGTGGTAAGAGGCTAGTTTGTCCATGTTGCAATGAATAGAGAATAGTCTGTAAAGTTTTACATATCTGACTTGCAACAGAAGATTGGAACATATAGAAATTAATGTTACTGAATAAGTTAATAGTAACTCAAACACATGAATAGAAGAACTAAAGAAACACAATACTAAAAAGGCATTTAAAATAAAATCAGAAGCTTCAACAAATATATTTTTCCCTTGCAGTCAAAAAAGTAATTATCAAAATTGTTCAGAATATGTTGCAAATTAGCCTGCTCCATAACTGCTAACTTTCTCAGTTCTTCACTTGCCTTTGCTGGGCTCTCTGTCACTGGAAACATCTTAAACCAATTTAAAGTGCTACACCTGAATAAACATGTTGTAAAAGTGTTTATGTATTGAAGTGGGTCAGTTCAAGGTATGGTATTTGGCTGGAACTTCTAATTTCTCTTTTTACAGCAAAAAGGCTGCCAGAAGGAGGAAGTCTGAGCTGAATTAATACATTTGTTACAGTGGAAGTAGAATGGAAACTACTTTAACCACAAATCAAACTGCCTCTTTCATTTATGCCAGTGATAGAGTTTTTCTAAGAAATATAGACTCTGGCGTACAGCCACTGTAAGTTTGTATTTGAAAAGGAAACCTCTATGCTTATTTCTGTAATGTTTACTCCTATGCGTATTTGCAAGTTCTTTTTCAGGGTGATTGAGTGAACAATATTATACTTTTGTGAGGCAGATGCTCCATCGCCTGCATAGCCAGCTTTTTCAGTCACTTTAGAAGAATCCCCAGGCGCCCCACTGTCGCACAGTGAACACAGTGCCTAGGCCCATACCTTCCCGTTTAAAGGACCTCTGTCCCCCCCACCCAGCACAGCTGCACAGCTTCACATGACACTGTCTCATTTTCTGACGGTTGAAGGGCTCTGCATAATACACGTACGCACAAAAGTGTTTATGCTGCCAAAATAAATTCTGTTAGGAGCAAGGGTTTATTTGCTAAAATGTCACTGATGCTGTTTCAGCGACTTGTTTTGCTTTCTTTTCTTTTAGTGAGGTTTAGATCCTATAGTACAGTGAGGTTACCACACAGTCCTGACGGACCAAATATTTTAAAGAAATATGCACATCCCCTGGGAACAGAACCAGAGTCAATAATGCACGTATTTCAGACCCTGTTCTCTTGAACGACTGAACACCTTCCTACCTTTACTTGTGAATGAACATCAGTTTGAGTAACACTGCATAATATTTATTTTTAAAACAAAAGTATATTTATTATATACACTTGTATTTGCTACTGATTTGCTTTGGGGATATAAGGTTCCACATTTCACGTTCAAGCGATGTAAAAATTAAATGACCACATTACATTATCCTTTCTATAGGCTATAGACTTTAATGGAGCTCATTTATTTTTCATTCCTATAAATGTGTACATGAGGCTGAATTAAAATATCTGTGTAATGGATAAGATATATAGCGCACATGATTTTATGCAATGAGAAACTACTTGTAAAGCTGTTGAAACTTTTGTAAATTGTTGAATTTTTTGTGTTTTAAGTTCCATTCAACAAAATGTGGTTAGGATTCTTAATCACGTAATTTCTGGATTATGGACAAAATCCTTGCCATGTGTCAGTCAGCAGTTGAACTACCACTGTGGCTTCAGGAGCGACAGAAACTCACCTTTTAACTTACAATTTCCATTACCTTATAGGTCGAAGTATCAATGTTAAATCTGCTGGCCTGATTGGAAGACATGGGCCTCAGTCAAAGCAGCCATTCATGGTTGCATTCTTCAAGGCAAGTGAAGTGCTTTTCCGTTCTGTTCGAGCAGCCAACAATAAAAGGAAAAATCAGAACCGCAACAAATCCAGTAGTCATCAGGAGTCTTCTAGGATGCCAAGTGTTGGGGGTAAGATGAAGCTATGATTTACTAGCCTGTTACAGGCACCAAATGCAGTGGAGTCATAGCAGCTCAACAAGATACTGCTCACTGGCTAACTGTCAGAAACTCCATTTTTATCTGCCCCACTAGCTTTGTTTAAACCTCTCTATTAAGTTGGCACTGAGCATTATCTACCTTCTTATGAGTAAGGTCACCTACATGCATCATGGGCTCCTGGAAGGTGAAATGACCAAGTAGTTTTATAAAGACTATCTGAACTTGAAACTAGTCCAATGTGTCAGGCAACTGGACAAGATCTTTGCTATGTATAACAAAAAAGTAAAGGGTGTAGAGAGAAGGGTTGCACCCCAACTACTTGCCTAGGAAGCCTCAGTGAAAGACAGAATTTGGACTCTTTTTTATCTGCATCTCAGCTTCAGTAGTGGGCTCAATTTTGTGTATGATACATAGGTAGAAAAAAAATTGTGCTATTTCCCTAGTTTCCACTGAGGACCTGGAGCATAGCTCTGTCTGAGGTAGGTGACTTGGGGATGCATGTGTTCCCTCTAAGGACACTAGATTTTGAAAAGCCCCTGATATTTGTTAAGGCACCAGGGATCTCTATTTACAACTGTTTATTGTTTGGAGGTTTTCCAAGTATTATAAAATTTTCTGGTATTCTGTATGACTATACAACAAAAGCTCATCTACACAATTAATGTCTAATCCCTTATGAGTCAATTTTGCAGGGGAGTAGTTATAAATGAATAATGAAAGAAGTCCAAAACTGGACAGTTAGCTTTTTAGTAGCAAAAAAAAAAAAATAAATTACATATCCATAGTAGAAAGGCATTTTTAAGATTATTCATTATTTATAGCGTCATATTGACCAAACATTCTCTTTTCATTAACTGTCTAAAGTTCTTCAGATTTTTTTGAAACAACGTAAGTTAAAAATTGATTTAGCATCTTGTTTTTCAGATGTGGTTTAAGCATGTACATCAGTTAAATTTCTAGCTGGTGCCTTTTTCTAAATTCATTTACTTCAGTACAGGAATTGAGTCTGCATTTTGTCATTTTATGTAATTCTAGTATGATCAGATTTTTTTCTGCAGAAACTGTTCTTTCTATTTTACTGGTACCATATGATGCACTTCCCTATTTTCATAAAAGGGCTTTGGACCGAATGATACAACATGAGCATGTTTGAGTGTTTTTTGGAGGGTTTTGTTTGTTTGTTCCTCCCCCCATTTTTTTTAACACAGTCAACCTTGATCTGTGCAACTTCATTAACTGTAAAATGCAATATCTTATCTCAAGGGTAAGTAATATTCTCTCTGCACAAAAATAAATAAATAAAAAAGGCAACAAAAAACCCCACAAAAAATATTAAAAAATGTTCATATTTCTTGAAAAATGTCAACTAATTTTGAGAGTCAAATTATTTGGGTGGAAGGGAAAATCACCTAAGTACATGGTACACACAAGATACCTAAATATAAATATACTTCCAGGTCGAATCCTGTGTTTGTAGTCCCTGAGGAAGCAAGAATTGATCAGATTTTTTAAGCCTCCTTGATTTTAGCAGGAAAACTGAACACAAGCTCCCTGATGGTTTAACCTGGGGAAAACTCAACCTTAACAAATGCCAGCAAGTTGCTGTCTGTATGTCTCAAAACACCAATCAATCAGCCTCATCTGTGCATCCAGTCATACTCCAGAGCTGTTGTAAAAGAAGAAAAATCAGAACACCTCCAGTGAAATGTACATTATGAAACATATTTTCTCCTAACCTCTTTAAGCCCCCATCTGCATAAGCATAGAGGTACATCCCTATATATGTTGATGCATGCCAGATCTCTGTCAAAAGACTGCAGTTCAAGAAAACTGCACTGTACTACAGGCTTGTGAGAGAAGGCTGATTCTAGCTCTCCACAGCTTCCAGTAATGAGCAGTGCTTTAAAACTAATTTCTCCACATTTAAACTACAGAAAAACCCAAAGAATTCTGCTCATAATCTTTCTCATGGCAGACTGTCAATAGACTATATTCAATACCCATTCACTCCCTGACGCGAGACACCATTGACATAAATGACACAGTAATGAGCAAGTGTCATTGTGTGATGTAGGTCCCCGTTTCTAAGCTTTCCATAATCTTGTATCTACAGCACTTAAGTCAGACACTGACAGTGAAAAATCTCATCTATATAGCCAGAGATTATGTAGCCAGACCCAGACAGGTATGCCGTCATTTATATGGAAGGTGGTCCTGCCCATGGCAGGGGGGACTGGAACTAGGTGATCTTAAGGTGCTTTCCAACCCAAACCACCCTATGATTTTATATGTCACAGGCTTTGGTTATACTTGTACATCAATCCCAACTTTACTATAGTCATGCCTTCCTTTTTTCCTTGCTTTTTTCTTTTTCCTTTTCTGTTTCTTTTTTCCTCCTTCTTTTCCTTTTTCTTCTTTTTTTTTTTTCCCCTCTTTCTCCTTCCATTTGCCTTGCCTTTTGTCATTTTCCTTTTGCCTTTTCCCTTTTGTTTTTTTCGCTTTTGTTTTTTGTCTTTTTCCTTTTGCCACTTTCTCCTCTAAGTTCTTGGACTACAATGATTAGAAACCCTCACTGGGCAACTCAGTTCTTCTCTTTCAATAGGCAAGATATTTTTTAATTATTCATGAAGATACATGCGAACACATGAAGAAAATAAAATCTGTATGTGTAAGTTATTATAACAGCTGGACAATTGTTGACAGATTTGCATCTCAGCATCTCTCTGTTGCTAAAAACTTCAAGAGAAAATTACCTCATTGCAGTGTAAAGGCAGACTGGATTAAGCTTAGCATTCAGACTCCACCTGCCTGCTATGCACAGCAGATTGAACTGTTTTTACTTATCCAGTTTTATTTTTGTCAAACTGTAGATGAAAAGGAAAAATATAATTAAAACAAATCAAACCAAGACAATGTGCTTCTAGAGTACATCACAGAACTCTTCCTTACAACAAAGGCTAGCTTTAATTTTTTTTTGTAATGTAATCTAAAAAGAGTTACAGTGTAATTGGGCACTAGAAAATATCCACATTTAAATACCAAATAGTGACTGACACCAGGAAACTCAAAACCAAAGCTACATAATTTTTGTTCATAATGCAGTGAAACAAAAAAAAAACCAAGCCCCAGAAAACAATATTTAACTCTGAATTTCCTGTATTTTATTGATTGATTTCACAATAATTAATTAAAAACACAGTACACTGTGATAATATATACAGGGTGTCTATATATCCTAATTTCTCTTGCTAATAAATAAAATACTTATTATGTTTCTTATAAGTATATTTTCTTGCCCTTCTTCCACAGCTCTTTCTGCTACGTAGGGGTTTGGACCCCAACTGCAGTGTCTCAATAGTTGAGGAACAATATTTTCTTAGTCACAATAGCCTACAGTTTCGATTCTTGACAGAATAAGCACATGGGCCTTGAAGTTACAGTACTTGAAATTTAATCCTTGGCATCAGATTTTATTATAAATGTCACATTTGATATTTATATGAAATTTTAAATTACACACGTTTGTATTATATGAAAGATAGAATTCAAGGAAGGAGTACAGACTTGCCCAAGTCTCACTTTCTTCATAGGTGTATGTGTTAGAAGGTTTGCAGATGTATGTCTGCATATGAAACCCAGACTGTCTCATCAGGTGTTGTGGTGTGACCCCTTGTCTACCACTGATTATCCTCCTATGTTGTAATTCAGAGTATCAAGACAATGAAGACGTCTCTGTGACGACTTACATAATTATTATTCAGGCTTTCTCCTTTAACTTTCTCCTTTAATTCCTTTCTACTACATTCTGGTGCTAAAACCTCTGTTATGTAGTCCTAAATATGAAAATGTCATGACTGAGAGACAACTGGCAAAAGCACAATCTTCAGTTTTAGTTTGCCTGCTTGGGTGCTATCTAAAAACAAATTGTGACTTCCCTGACTTTCTCATATGCATATCTTTCCCATATTTTTCAGGTTTTTTGCAAAGTGGCTTGCATTCTATATGACTGAATTTTAAACTCCCACTAACAGCTGAAACCAAAAAGCTCACCGTTTATCTCCTATGAGCACTGATACTAGATAAAATCAGCATACAGGTCCTTGTAAAGAAGGATCTGTGAAACAATTCTTTTTTTAAGTTTGTTTACTTCCCAATACCTTCACCTTACATCTCACACATGTGCAGAACATAATACATTATTACAGACAACTCAGCACAAAGTATGACTAAGGGCTTTTTGTTGTATTAAATTCTCCACCCTTGCCAGTTAAAAGCAAGACAAGTAAGTCATTGAGTACCTTAAACTGTTCTGAGTCCTTGTCACTAGGTCCTCTGCCCCAGTGAACATCGAAGATATATTTTTCTAACTTTTAATTTTTGTTACGAATGTACTTATAGAAGTCTTTGTTGACCTTCACATCCCTCAGAGTTTTCAATTCCAACTAAACTTTGGCTTTCCTATCATCCATCCCTGCATGCTCAGGTGATGTATTTATATGATTACTGTGTAGCTCATCCCAATTCCACAGAATTTCCTATTTGAATTTGAGCTCAATCAAGAGTTTCCTATTCAGCCACAGTGGCTTAGTGCTATACTTGCTTGACCTGCACAAGTATGGACTTACCTTGTGCTTCTCTCAGTGGTTGTTCTGGGAGATCAGGCAGCTCTCCTGGTCTCCTTTGCCTCCAGGGGAAATGCCATGAGATCATGTAAAGAAGATCTCCGAAAAAGATGAAAACTGATCTCCTGAAGTCCAGGGTTGCAATGCTGTTGTTGATCTTGGTCATCTCTCAGAACCTTTTAATTCCACCATATTGTGGATGCAATAGCCCCATCATGCTGCAGTTCTCATCAACATGCTCATCAGCCTGGTTTTTATTCATTGATTTGCATAAATACAACATAATCCTAAAGTGACTAGGCAGGAATATATCAAAAAGGGATCTGAAGCTGATCATTTGACAGTGTGGTTTTACTCCAGAACTCCTGTTCTGGGATATACTGCTGAAAAACCATCCAGAAATCGTAAGAAATAATTATTTTACTTCATTTGGCACTGTGTTCAGTTTTGGCTAGCACATCTTCAGAAAGGCACAGAGAAACTGAAGAGAACTCAGAGAAGCAATGATAGCACAGATCAGGACAGCTGACAAGGAGTTGATGATAAACTTCCAGGAAAGCTCATGTAGGCTGGCTGTTTGGAAGAGTTTTCTGCAAGGACAGTGAAGCAATGTAGTAGATTCTATCACAGACTGTAGAACTCCTTTCCTTTCATTTTATGTGAAACAGACCTCTCTTAATTTTCCAGGAATTTTTCAACAGAGATCCTCCCATCCCAGACTCAGTTCTTTAAGTCTTTTAACATTAAAAGACTGTTACTAGAAAAAGAAATCTATTCCTGAAAATTGAGATTTTATTTATTTTTCAGCCACTTCTGTGTTTTTTTCTTTTTTGTTTCTTGGTGTTTTGTTTTGTTTTTGTTGTTGTTGTTTGTTTTTTGGTGGGGCTTATTGGTGTCGGGTTTTTTTTTGTTTGTTTGTTTTTGTTTTAAGCCTAAAAGGCCACTTCAAGCATTCTTGAACTGGAGACAGGGAGAGACAGCCTGTCCTCTCTGCTCCATCGTATGCCTCACTGATGGCATCACTTAAATAGCACTATAAACCAGCGCTGGGGTGCTCATGTGGTGGGGACATGACCCTATTCCCTTCCTTTCATGATATTCAGGGGTAGTTAGGAAAGAGAACTAGATATTCTCTAGAACTTGATATTCTTCACATTGTCCTGGAGAAGCATGTATGGAAGGTTCTCTGTGTCCTTTTATCCTGACATGTCTCCGACAATGCATAAACATTCAGGCCTTCAAACAGCATTTGTTAGTCTACTATTCACTTTAGTATCACCAACTAAGTATATTCTATTCCAGACATATTCAAGTGGTGAATATTTCTAGAAAATATGGCAAAAAATGAATGAGTACAAAATATGCTAATGTTTAAATAGAAGGCTTTTGGTAATTCTGTTGATTCAGGACTTCTTTTATCGTTAATTTCTCTTTTGAATTGAGCTACTTACTTTATCTGGCAATTAAACCTGTGCCAACATACAGATGACTTTCCCATATGCTGGATCGGGAACTTGTTCTCCTTTGATTACCTGTGTGCATGTTATCAGAGTTGTTACCTAGCTAAACAACAAACAGGCGTCTTGTAAATCTTCTCTTAATGCTGTATGCACCATTTTGTCTGTGTACAAAAACTGCATCAGGATGACACTGCTGATTCTGCATTTCCAAGTATACACTGCCTTTACGACCAACACTAGGAATATAAATGAAAGTATACTTGTTCCTTTCCTTTGCACAGTTTGGTTAGGAGCTCAAAAATAGCTAAATCTCATTGGTTCTAACAATGCTTCTAAACAATTTCTTATCATTTTCTTGCTGTAGATTATAACACAAGTGAGCAAAAGCAAGCATGTAAGAAACATGAACTTTACGTGAGTTTCCGAGACTTAGGATGGCAGGTATGTTTATAAATGCTGTTTCCAAGTAATTCGAATTTGGGCAATTTGTTTTACAGTCCCCTGTTATTCACAGTCTGTTTTCTTTATGATAACTGGGATTTTCCTGATGAGAGACAAATTCTTTGAACGCGTTTTGCAACAAATTCCTATTGCTGTCACTTTGCCTTTTTTAGCTGCTCTTCTCTCAAAGATTTTGCATACATTAATGGTTTTATGACCTGGATTCATTCATATAAAGATACTCTGAATTATTACTTAAGTTATGAATAGATCTGCAGTAAATAAAAGCAAAATCGCCACACTGAGCAATGAAACTTTTGAAATTTGCACTTGAATTTTCCCTGGTTTAGTGCTGTCTACTGCAGGTCAGAGACATTTCACTGGACTAGAGTCTGTAGGGAACTAGAAATTGGATAACTGTTCAGTTGTCTTTATAAAACCATAGATAAGTTTATGTAATTTCTGGGAAAAACTCATTCTGCCATATAGTAACAAAAAAAAAAAAAGGTATTTGTAGTAAAAGGTCATAAAGACAGAGGCAGGGCATTATGAGAAAAGAAAATAGAGCTCAATCTAGGGGTTTTTTCAGAAAGCAAGGATCTTTCTACAAAGGAAAAAAAAAGCCGTCAGCAACCTATAACCTAGACATATTACATATGTAGATAAGAACTCAGAGATGGCTGTCTGTGCATTTCGTATTTCTCTGAATACTTCAAAACAATTCTCCAGGAGCAGAACAAGTGTACTGTCTCTTTAGTGACAGCTCATCTTTTCCATATCTAGCTCAGATTCTCATATGGCCTCATTACTTTTCCTGATACTTCATAGTATATTTATCCTCCCAGCAGCCTGAAGAAGCAGGCAGAGACTGTTTTCTCAAGACTGCAGAGCATAATCACCCTGTCCACAGCCACAGAGCAGGCTTGTGTTTTTGACTTAAACTTGTGCTACTGAACAAGTGAGGCATTGTTTCTCTGTAGATAACAGATTTTTCCACGTATCAAGTTTGTTCATTTTCTGAAACAGTAAATTTTGATATGCCCCAAGATGTGCAAAGCTCTCAGATCTGTCAGTCAAGGTGGCCATAGAAAAAACCAAAAACTTCCCCCTCACACTCAAAAAAACTCCCCTAACTTGAAGAATTCAAAATTTCAGTTGCAAAGTCAAAGCTACACTGTACAAGAGTTGATCAGTGAAACTTAGGGTGAAATGAGATAAAAATTAAAAGAAACAAACCCCAAGAAGTAGGTACTTTATCCTCTTTGTCCTTTGTCCTTTCCACAGCATCTACATTACCTTTTCCTAGCAAACAAGAGATTCAGCAAACCGAACACATAGCTTTCATTAACATTTTAAAATATTTTCCCATGCTGTGTTGCTAGAAATACTCACAATGCATGATTCAGTGACATTCCAATGGGTAATCTCTAGCAGTGTTCAGTCTCATGCAATAGTATAGTTAATGGTATTGAGCATGCTGAAGAAAAAAGATGCACTGTAATTACTTTTGTTGCATTAAGAAGTGCTCAGGATTTTCAGTCTGAGAAGAAAAGTATTCTAACAAACATATTTGGACCTTTAATTCCCCTTATAGCCTCATTAGTTGGTACTTAGTACAGATTTCTAACTTCAATTTAATTTTCATCTGATTTTTGCAAGAACAAAGCAAATATTTCTTTCTTTTTTTTTTTTTTTTTTTTAAAAAGTATCCTGACCATCAGGCTGTGCTGATTTTTTTAAAAAAAAAAAAGAAATGTAAGTTGACACGCCACAGTCTGAAGTTCATTTTGTCCTTGGGTAAATCTTACTTTGACATGAAGTCTTGGGTGACATGGTTTAGTGCAAAGTGTCCCTTCCCATGGCAGTGGGTTTGGAACTAGATCATCTTTAGGTCCTTTCCAACCCTAACTGTTCTATGATTGTATGATTCTATATATTTTTAAGTCTCTGAGTGAGAAAAAAAAAAAAGAGTATGTTTATTTGTTTCTATTGTAGGATTGGATTATTGCACCAGAGGGCTATGCTGCATTTTACTGCGATGGAGAGTGTTCTTTCCCCCTCAATGCTCACATGAATGCAACAAACCACGCCATTGTTCAGACTCTGGTATGCCACTGCCTATGTTGTAGCTGCCTGTTTTGCAGTTTTAAGTGTCTTGGCACAGGGGCTGTCTCTTCCCTTCTGTTTACTACTATTAAATTTGAATTATTTCTGGGTAAATGATAACCTATTTCAGAGATGTGCTATGATGATTAAGCTGAAGAGAAGATGAACTCTGTGAGAGTGGCCTGTGTGGTAGGTTTCCCTTCCATTTCAAATGTAATAACACATGAGAAGAATGTGTCATATTACTGGAGAATTGTATAGACATGAACCAAAGAGGCCCCCTAGTCCAAGAGTTCCAAGAGTTTATTGGAGCTCCATGTTAACATCTACATGCTATTCCTTCTACAAATATTGACACTTGGCCACTCTGTGGACCTCTGTTGTCAGCTGTTGGCACAGATACTCATACTGTAACTTAATGTGAAGCTTTGTGAGCAGACACATTTGCATGTAAGAAATTGTGCTCAGGCATGTCTGGCTAACAAATACGATTTATAGATAATTGTGTCTGTATCTGTTGCTCTGCCTGGTACATGTACAAGGGGATTTGCAGCCAGCTTCTGCCTCTGCTGGTTCTTAGGTTAGTCCTGTGCATCAACTGGAGCAGCCAAGATGATCTTAGTTGAAGGGTCTGGCTAGGCCTCTGCTACCCCAGCAGCGTTCATCTACAGAAATGAAGACCTTTAGACTATGGCTGAATGTAATTTTGTGAGTCTGATGTCTGATCATGATTTTTCAGCTCTGCTAGCTGAAGAATTGGCCCTGAACAACATCAGTATTAGCAGAATGATTAAGAAGCAGAGGAATGAGAGATACTACACAAGAAGGGAGTGGGAGTACAAAATCAGAACAGGAAAGGGTTGCTGTCGTTAATTAGTTTCTAGAAAGGTCAAGGCACTCGACTGTAATTAGAGAAACATGGGTTTAAGGCTCCCTCTGTTTTAAACTGATGATAGGAAAGTATCCTGACCATCAGACTGTGCTGATGATTCTGTCCATGGATGGTGATCTTTTTCTTTTGATTTTGACATAAAAAATCTGGTCTGAAAAACCTTTCCTCCTCTATAAATGGGTGCAGATACTACCCTCCACCCCCTAAACCAGAACCCCACACCAAAAAAAAACCCAGAAACAAAGAAATTTCAATCTCTTCCTCATAGAAAAAAAAAAATCTGCTTGTGAAAATTGCCAATTATGTCTTCATGAGAGGGACATTTTTAAAATCTAAGCTAAGACCTTTTCCTTTCCATTAAGCTTTTCATATATGCACCTTCTCCAAGTCCAGCCACCAATGTAATACTATTCCTCTATACCAGAATTTGAGTCAGTAAGATTTACAAAAAGAAGGCAAAGTGTCAGAGGCTGGAAATAAATAGGAGTGTGGTAACGGGTTCAGGTGAAAGGGAACAGCAAATTCCAGTTGGCAAGGCATATAGCAATGAGCCTAGGAGACAAGAACAGAATATATAGAGTTCTGAACTGAAAAGAAATAAGACAGTAAAGCAATAGTTTAGAAGCATGCAAAAATTGTTCAGAAAAGTTGCCAATATTAGTGAGATCCCCAGGTTAGAGTTTTCTCCTGCAGTTACGGGCTGTTAAGTAAGAAGTGGTCCATGATACTTTTTCTTGTGTCTATGCTTTCCAAAAATGGGTAATTTCCCATTGTTAAGAAATTTGTGCAGTTTGTCTTATTTTTTAAATTGGATGCTTAAATTTTCCCCCTTTTTATGGCCTTTTTGGAATTGTGTGTCTCCCTCTGCATGTACTGTACATGCATTCAATTTTGCAGCCAAAAAATCATGAGGCTAATTAAATTTTAGCTGCACATAAATTAGATGAGATAACAGTAGTTGAATGCTTTCTGGTTTAAATTATACAAAATTCAGATTTATACAAGGTGTGCACATGGGGATGGCTTGGGAAACAATTATTCATACACCCCACCCTAATCCAAATGCAATCATCTCCCAGCCATACTGATTACACCATTCTAAAAAAGCCCACTCTTTGGTTTGAGAAGTGATTGTTCCTTGGTACCCCTCCAAACTTTACTGACTTTTTTTTTCTTTTGTAACAAGAATAAGAGAAATGTTGGGCCAGTACCTCTCTCTCTCTATCCTTTTTCTGAGACTGAATTTAAGCAGAGAGTCTATACAGATGCATATAAATACAAGGGAGACGCTGTTTAATTGCAGTAATATTGACCTCCTGGTCATACAAGCCAGAGGATCAGCAGGTTGACTTGCACTGACTTCCAGGCTCTCTTGAAAAGGCTGTGAGCATTGCTGTCATGTGGGCCTAGCAGAGCTATGAAGCTTCCAGCTGGGGAGGCAGGGGCTGGTGGGTCATGGTAGGGCAAGCATCTGCCTAGGCAAGACACAATCATTTTCTTCTACGGTGTTTTGTTATTCATTTAGTAAACTGTTTTTAAATGTATGTCTAAACTGTTACTAAACTGCTACTTCAGGATTTATTATTGCTCTTTTCAAAAGACCTTCTCATGGTAACAGTTATGTAAAAATCGTTTCCTGATAGACTGTTCTCTGTTGTCTGGCAAGGGCTCTGGGCTTATATCACTGCAAGACAGATGGCTCTAACAGATTTACAGAGACTTAACATACAAATGAAACCTATTACTGCTGAAGTCTTCATCCATGCCTTAATAATCTCCTGCTCTCTCTATTACAACTCCCTTTTCTCTGGCCTCCCCAGTTTCCAAGTCTTCAGCATGTGTAGAATATTACATCTAACCTTCTTTCAAGTACAAAGAACTTGTATTTCGCTCATTTTCAGATATTTCGACTAGATCTCGTTTGTTCTGGGATGCTGTTCAAAAGTCTTTTGCTTCTCTTTAACCTTTCATTGATATATTTTAGCCCAGTGAACACAGTCTTCTCTGCTTCAGCCTTTTCCCTAAACTTTCTGTACAGCTGGCACCCACCTTAAGAATTGAATTTGGCTTCAGCTGAAGTAGAATTGGATCCACCGATATCCAGATAAGACCTTAAAATGCACTCATGCTCTCTGAGAAGACACATTTTACTATTTCATAGGCTGAAAACAGTTGAAGTATGAGCCTTTGCCTGCAGACTTTCCTGTCTGCAACAGACTTTCCTCCATTCTGGGACCCTGACTCAGGAAAGCATTTTAGCATGTGCTGAGGTCCTGGTGAGACCTGGGACTTGAACCTGTGCTTCATGTTAAGCACTGTCCTCAGCAGAGATGGTACTGACAGTATCTCTAAATGTTTCCCTGAGCAGCTGCCTAACCCCAACTCTTTTCTAAATTTCATCTAAAACCAGCTTTCTGTCTTGGCCACGCCTCCACGTTTATCTCTCCATCTGTTATTATTGTATAACTGCCTACACAATTGACATCAGCAATATTCTGGAGGTAAGCTGTGCTTTGAAATTGCTAACGAAGGAAAATCTGTGACCACAACACACTCTGAAATGCAAAGACATATTTTGCACTGATGTTGTCCTTGTACCTCTTTGTTTGATATATGAGCTATGTATTTATCTGTCTTTCAGGTTCACTTGATGTTCCCTGATCATGTACCAAAGCCATGCTGTGCACCAACAAAACTGAATGCAATCTCCGTGCTCTACTTTGATGACAGTTCCAATGTTATTTTAAAAAAATACAGGAATATGGTGGTGCGTTCATGTGGCTGCCACTAGAATAAGAAATAATCTAAAGCAGAGGGGTTTAGTCAGAATTGTAATAAAGTCAAGATATGAGCTTTGTGGATGAAAAGACAGCCCTAAATTTATTCCATTTCATGTCATCTCTCATTTAAATGTACAGTATAATGTATATAGTAGCTTTTATTTATTTAAAAGTATATAGTTTCTTTTTGTATGAGCAAAATTTCAGAACCATGTATTTTATGGGTCACCTCACTATGCAGTAAAACTTCACAAACTAATTTTTCAGTTGACCATACTGGAATATGCTTCATTCCATTTCAATATTTTAAAGTAAAGACTTTGTATAGATTTTTTTTCTTTTTTTTTTTTTTTTTAAGCTAGAAACTCCAAACTTCTGTAACTGCTTCATATTGTTAAAGGAACTAAAATACATTTGGTCATATTTTGCAAATGAAAACTGTGGCGGGCTATTTATTTAGAAAAAGGCACACAAAAAAACCCCCAAATTAAACAAAACTGCTTGGCTAAGCATATTTTTTCTTTTAGAAGTTCTGCTCCATTAGAAAAAGTGAAGTATTGAACAGTGCTTAAGTAAATAAATAGATAGAAGTTAAAAGATTGCACATAATTGTTATAACTATTTTTTTAACAAGATGACTGTAACTGGAGGAGTATGTTACTTCTTGGCTTGTGAGCTGCAGAGTTTACAAAAGGCTCAAAGCTTCAGGAATTCTGTGGAGACAGACCCTCAACTCCATCTATGACTTTCCAAGTTAACACTAAAAATTGAACTACAACATTCTTACCTCAAATCATATCAGTCTATTATCTACTACACTGCTCTGGCAAATACTTTTATAATAACAGCACAAGGTAAAAACAAACAAAAAACCCCACAAGCCTTCCCATTATGTACACAGGTTACCAAATACACAAAATATACAGAAGGCTTTACTTCATCGAAGGGCTTTACTTCATTTCAATCCCACTTTTGGACATGTTTTCTGAGTATGCAAGAGTAGGTGCACAGCATGCAGATGTTCTCACCTATTTAATCAAAAATCTTGCCCCTAATGGTGGCCATTTTCAGGCAAAGATGAAAAACTGTTCAAAATGAGCCACTGGGTAATTTGCAGCCTTCTTTCTGACTCATCCGCTTTTCTAACAGGTGGAGATTGGCTTAAATCATGAGGCTTAAGATAGCTTTCCTTTTTTTTAGCGTTAACTATTGTAACTTTGATAATTCTTAAATCCATACAAATAATTTTTAATCTCCCTAAATTTTTGGCCTCAAATGAAATCCTGTGGTTGTGAATTGCACAACTAATTACAGAGTATCATTTACATCATCACTACCCATGTGCTTATTTTTAATTAATCACATTTAAAATCTTTGGACACACCCTTGTTTTAGTGTTATGAAAATGAGAAAATAGAAACTCTGCTTTCTCTTATTACATGACAAATTATAATATGTTTTTGTCATAAATTGCCTTGATTAAAAATGCTGCATTTAAAGAGTTCTCAGAGAGTTGTTAAACATTAATAGGGCATATCAATTTATTCTTAGACAGTTTATGCATATAAACTCTGACTTCTCTGGTTACTAAAGCATATTTCAGAAAACTCAGATTATTACAGACTGATAATATCAGCATGTGCGTGTGACTGTGTGTATGCATGTGAATGTACAACTGCCTTTTTTTGCAGAAACTAATTTATTTTATCTTGCTATTGGAGTAATACATGAATGCTTTTTATGCATACACTCAGTTTGAAAAAATTAACAGTTCTGATTTCAATCTTTGGAGCTCTTTTCCCTCAATACAACACTCACATTTTATACTTCCATGTCTATTTTATACTGACATTACCTAAATATCTACATTTAGTTGCAGTTCATGCACAAGGGTGCATAGCAAAATACAATGTCTTCAGCCGAATTACCATTTTGGAACAGCTAAATTACTGGGTTGTCCTCAAAAAATTTCCTGGTTTCTGTATAAATTGGGCAGGTGGATATGCTTTTTGAACTCAATTTATTCTAAATGGAATTTGATGGAGACTACATTTTGGGTACATTAAGTAATATATTTTTAAATAATGGTGTACCATTTTGAGAATAAGGAACTGAAGATTATTGTTATATTATTCTTTAAAATATGTTGTTGGAATATATTTCTATATTTTGAGACATAATAAACCTGTAATACTATTTTCTTCTGCTGTGATTTTGTCTCTGAGACATATGACAGAATGAGACTGACTTCATATATTCTTTTAAAAGTAGAAGCAAGAGATCACCAATGGCTATGGAAGGATTTTGTTACAGTTCACTTTTTAGTACAGACATTTTGTAAAATTACTTCTATTTTGTTAATAAAAATCTTGCCTTCAAATGATACCTCTAAATGTTAATACTCTAATCCAAATATACTAGAAAGAAGAAATAATTTTTAAAATTCTCCATAAATTCCTAACTGGTCATTCCTCTGTTTGAATGGAAGGATAGCAGCACCACACCTTCTGCATGCTCTGGATAAGTGTATATATATATGTGTTCTCATGTAAACTTTTTCAGGTAAGCCCTTCTCTAGTAGTACCTAACACAGTACTTCTTATTCTTTTACTTGCCTTTATTGAATACCTGTTATTTTATATATATTTATACATAATACACACACACACATATAATAAAATGTGTATGTAATTATATTAAATATATTCCCATATCTCTAGCTATATATTACAGTTACGAAGATCATTCCATTACCATTCAGGACATAATAGATTTCATTTTTTTAAAGTTGTTTAAGCTTTCTGCATCTTTAACAACTGGAAAGAGAGTAAAGAGCTGAAAACCAGAAAAAAAGATGAAGCTGCATAAGGAATTAATGTTACATTATGGGTCAGAGCTTCTTAAGCTTTAACTTATTCATAATACTAACACCATTGTTACGCCTTCTGGGCCAAAATCAAATGTTTACAGGATTTTGCTAGTGACCACTTCTACAGCTTAGGAGTATTCACCCAGTGTAAGTCAGAGCAGACAGATTAATAGTATAGCAGCAGTGATTTCATTTTCCTTTAGAAGTGCGTTGTTCCTTGGTTGTGATTTTGATATCCAAGACAAGATGAGCTCTGATTGACTGAAGTGAGAAGCATTTATAAATTCTCTGATGTGCTAAGCTGTGACATATATATAGCAGTCTTCCTTCAGTTAGATTACTTGATGGGCATGGGCATCTCTCCTTTATCTGGATGCCCATTTCCACGATGTATTTATAGGGTCACGTTTTTCTGATTTTGGCCAAAGGTTTCAAATTCATTAATTAGGGAGCAGGGTTGAGAAATGCTTGCTGATAGTCAAAACCATACTTATTTGGATTGCACTAGCCCTTTTTTTGATATAAGATTGAGCTAAAAATTGAATTAATATAAAGCTGTCTGGTAGCTGACAAGATAGTGATTCATCTGATCACCACAAAACTCAGCTGGAGATATCTTGGGCAGACATTGATGTGGATGTCTTCAGACAAAAAAAGATGATCATTCCTTGCTCAGCTGCGTACCTGTCTGAAGGGCTGTTGTGACTGACATGTCCTTTACAACTCCAGGACTCCTTCTTCTGCAGTGGTCTGTTTAGGCTTTTAGGTAAATATGCATTTGTATTGAGTGAATAGGTAGGTAATATAAATGGAGCCATATGAGGAGCTCAGGTATTTTCAGAAATAAGAAACCAGTCCTTTATAGCTGTATGGGAAAAAGGATTTGTTGATTTTGCACACTGGCACCTGTAGAACTACAGAACAGTATTTAGACTGTGCATTATGAGTCAATTGTCAGACAATTTAGGCCCTTATTTTAGTAAATGGTGTATACATGAGTGCTATGACTTACATGTATACTATAGTATCCCAAATACGTTTTTTTATCTACAATACAGAAATTGTTCTTTTGGATTGCAATTCATCTGTTTCTCTCCAAAGGCTTCAAAGTATATTTAGGACAATGGATCTGCTATAGACCTTGTCTGACCAACTGTAGTCAGTGACAATCCCTGACACCTTTAAAATGTTACATTGTTGAAAAAGTTTTACTGAGATGTTTAATTGGGATATGAAGCTTTGAGAAATCTTTTGTTATCATGATGGGATGTCAGACACTTCCATTTTGGAATATAATTTTCTCTACCATTTACTTGGAAAAGGTTGGATTGATGACTGTATTTCTTCTGGGGTTTCTGGTTTGGTTTGATTTGGTTTGGTTTGGTTTGGTATTTTTGTTTGGTTTTTTGGTTTTGGGTTGTGGGGGGTTGTGGGGTTTTTTTGTTTGTTTTTTTTTTTTGTTTTGTTTTTTTCTGTCAACACCTCTTCTGAAACAGTTTCATGGTTAAATTAACTTTGCTCAAAAATGGTTAAAAAAATGGTTTAGGCATTAGATTCTGGATTGTTCCAGTAATAACCAAAGGATTCTAACAATCACAATTTTAAAATTATGTTCTTTACAATCTCTACCAGTTTTTCTGCTCACACATTCAGCTCTGCAGAGGGAGAATCTGACATGTGGTGCCTGAATGACGAAACAACCACATGTGAATTATACAGTATTATCTTTTACTATCTCATCTGCAATCACAGAACTTGCAAACTGTGATTTACAATGTGTTACTGAGTTCTTACTCACATGGCTTGAGCAAGAGCTTGATTAAAAACAAAAGAAAACTAAACTAAAAATCCACCTAAAAGCAGTGAGAGGAGGTTTTCTTGCCATTTGAATTCAAATAAATCAACACTGAACATGGTACATGGGGGATCAGGAATCTCCTGTGAATTAAATGGGCCTTTTGTATTCTGTTTTCCATATTTACAGCACATGACACAGAATCTTTTCCTGTCTGCTATATTTCCAGCTAAATACTTTATGTTCTGCTCCTGCACGTTTTGCTTTCAGATAGGTGCAGTCTATTATTATTATTATTGGGTTTGTTGCTGTTGTTGTTGCAGTTGTTGCAATTGTTGCCATTCTTGTTGGTGGTGTTGAGGTTTTTTATTGTTATTATTATAGATATTTTCATTACTTTAGAATATTTTAATGCTTTACAAAAAATATGTTATTCATGTTGCTATTTTACAGAAAAGTGGAGAGACTTGACTAAGAGAAGAGCAGGTGAGAGGTAGTATAGATCTCCAGTGTCCCAGTGCTCCAACCCCTATTCCACACTCTTTGTGGATTAATGCAAGCACTTGATACTCCTACCCCTGCAGCTCATAACTTCAATGGATGATAGGCAATCTCAGGGGTTACCTGGACCTATACTTTGGATTTACCAAGTACTTTTCTAGTTTTATGATTTTTTGTGGAAATCTGGTCAGTGACTGATAAAACTGAGGCACATGCAGGGTGCAGACCACACCTTTCCTAGGTGGGGCTGTGTTAAATTTTAAAGCTACTTCTAGGGAACCAACCAAGATCTTCTTGAAGCAGATCTTTGACCACCTTTTCAACAGCATCGTAAATCTG